CGCGCAGGACCGATCCGTGCGACGCGACGACTACGTCCAACGGAGACGCCAACAGGCCGACAGAGTGGATGAAAGAGGGCGCTGGTTGAACAGAGACGCAGTACGCGGCGAGGGTGAAAGGGAACGAGCTGGTCGTGGGTGCGACAGAGATCGAGCCGCGTAGGCTTGAAAGACAGAGAGACTGAGAGAGAGGGGCAAAAGGAGAACGGGGTGGAAAGTGGAACGAAGAGGAAACTGGATCGAAGAGAGATGGCTGACAAGAGGGAAGGAGAAGATTCGGATGGAGTCGGTCGGTCCAAGAAGGACGGTTAAGGAGATGGAAAAAGAGGTGCACGAGCGAGAAAATGTTGGAATAGACGAGTGGATCGGAGGAAGAGAATGGACGGAGACTGGACTGGGGATCAAAGAGGGCTGCCGGCTGAAAAGAGACAGAAAGAGAGAGAGAGAGAGTAAGTAACGAAGGATGGAGGCGAGAGGAGATGGATGACGAGAGGAAGTAGGAAACGGTAGAAGTAGGCGCGGATTAAGGAACGACGAGAATGAGGTGAAGGACAAAAAACAATGCGGAAGAGAAGGAACCAGCGGTAAGGTGGGACAGAAATGATTGGAGCACGAGGTTGAAAGAGATGGCAGAAGAGAGGGGTAGCGGATGTACGTATCTTTTGTCGGAGCGACGAATGATATACGCGGTGAAAAGGGTTTAATCGTCACGTGTGAACCACGCTGCAGATGGAAGACAGCCCTAATAAATTGCGAGTTATACGCGTGGAAATAGAAAAAGGTAGGAAAAGTGAATAGAAAACTCTCAAGAGTTGTATTTTAAAAAGTATAGAAAGACAAGGAATATTAATAAGAAACTGTGACGATACGACGTTGAATAAGGCGAGAAAGGCGGCGAGCACCCTTCTGTTCCAATGCTTCGTGACACGGTTACGAATAGGGGGCAGAACCAGCCATACCGAAGATTCGAGGGGGAAAAAAACAAGGTTCGAATCGCATTTTCTACTGTGTAATACATAGTTTAAAGCACGAGCACACGTACTTATTTAGAACACACTTTCCTTTGCTCTAATTTCCATGAAAGAGTCACGGTGTATGTAATAATTAAGAAACGACGTCATATATGTAGTTGTTATTATCGTTTACGCGTTTTTATCGTCGTTCTAATTTCATTGATATCGAATTAGATTGGAATGGGATTTTTTACCGACCATAAGAAATAGACGATGAATGAAAAGGCTCCGTTTATTGTTAAACACGGCAAGCCTTTAGTACAAGCCTTTAGTATTTTGCGAAATTTAGTTTTGTCGTCATATCTAAGTATAAATGTCAATAGAGAAAATGTAGTTTGTCCCATTTGCGCGAGACACTCCGTATATCAGAATTCAATAGTAAAGAAATCTTATTACAATCATACACATACTAATTACGTACTAATGCAAAGATTTTTATTTCGCTTTTGTTATTACGCTTTCTTGTACGATTTCGCGTATAATTTTTAATTACGATTGTTATGTTGCCAGTGTATATACATGTATATTCGTTGCAACATTCTGTGCCGAATGCAATTAATTAGTAAAATCTCCGTGCATTTTACAGAACGTGTGCAACGAATCATTTTAGCTACTGCACACGCTTGATTCTATCTTATAAAATTTCGTAATTACAATTCTGTAAATTAATGATGATCATAGAAAATCTCTGGAAATTGTTGAAATATTAAATTTAATGAAATTCTGCGAAATACGAAGCGTCGTTTGCATTAATTCGTAAAAATTGCGAGATAACTAGTTCTATTTACAAACTATTCAAAGCGATTTAAGCATCTCGTCTAAATGAACAATATAATTCACAATAGCTGGATCTTACGTTATTACAAAGTCCGAAGAAATCAAAATATCTGTAGCATTATAACGCCTTCAATCACTGGAATCTCGTTGTTATTTCTCGCTAGTGTCCACTAGTGGCCGCCCTCTAAAAAGTCTAATGTGATGTATTGCCGAATGTACATCAATCAGCAGATATTTTCGTATATTTTCGTTTTTCAATTTTCAATCATTTGAGCGGCAATTTTTCACAACAATTTGTCTTTAGCGAAATCGTACTCCGTTCGCCATTCCGGAGGAGCTTAATCTCCGATATCACGCGTAGTCCCTGCGGCTTCGCCTGCTCTGCTCCCCTTCCAGACCAATTTTCATTCCACGCGTTGCTGTTGCTAAGTAAACCGAGACATGTAGGTTAGCCGAGTACACGGGAGCTGAAGCGGCGTAAAAAATGCAACAGCATTTATCGCAGAAAATCTGTTATGTCGGAGATCAAAGGGAATAGTCTCCGAGGGGATGGATATTCCTTGCACCACGCCCGCAAACACTTATCCGATAAACCTAATGTTGTGTGCGATAAGTCATGTCTATAATCGGATCCAGGTGCGCCGCTACATAGACGCGCGTGAAGCTAGATGCGTCATACGTTACACGTGTGCACGGTGCAAGCACTCCTTCGACGCTGTAACTTCGGTCCTCCTAATAAGAAGATTAGCATCCAACGATCAGATTGATTGAAGGGAAGAAGAAGATTCTGACTAGATTGTATCCAACGGGTAAACCCGCTATGAAATATTCATGGAGAATGGGATAGAAAGAAACGGGATAGAACACCGGAATGTCGTTGGAATCGTTGGTCCGGTGCAATACGGAGCTGATTAGGCGAAGGAACGCGGGTCTGATCGTTTATTTCTGACAGACCAGACGCAATCATAAAGATAAGCGCGCGTACTGGCCGAAGGCGTCACATGCAAATAACATGATATAGCAACGCGTGACATAACAGTAAATCGAGAGCAGTCGATATAATTGAGCAACAGTGGATATAACAGACAGCCGATAAGACGATTAGGCGAAGACACGCGGGTCTGATTGGTTATTTCTGATGGACCTAACGATCAGAGTCGTAAAGACGAGCACGTGTATTTTGGCTGTAAGCGACACGTATACGACCAAGACTACATAAATATGTACATAGCAACGCGTGACACGTCGATGAGCGATAGAGAGCAGTCGCTTTCTTTGCCCCTGTATCGCCCCATTAATCGTTTTTCCAGTTGCTACGAGATCGCTCGTAGTCATTGCCATTCTTTTCGGTGTGGGCTGCATTCGACTTGGTCAGTGGAATTTAATTTCCAGCGAAGATGTTACTTGCACGACTGTGAATATTAATCGATACCGTAGACATAGAAAAATAACTCGATATATGTAACTCGGCGTGTGATGCTTGTATGTTGGTTTCTTATCGTTGAGATTGTAATATCGTAATTAAAAATGAAAATCTATATCGAACTCGATTAAATTGAAGCCAAGTAATAAGTACACCGTATACAACGTTGTGCGTATAAAGATTATTCCAACTTTATATTCTTGGAATTACATTCTTCGGCTTTCCACTTATATTCCTGGAATACGCGAATAGGAAAAAGAATCTAGCAACGAACAAACTGAATGGAATAATATTTCGGTTGATAAACGATGATGTTTCCCTCGCCACCGTCTTACAAAAATGCATTTCTTTGCAAAACGCGAGGAATGTTTAACAACCGTTGAATGTTGAACGATCGACGACACTATCCGACTGACACGCGTTTCCGTTTCCTTCTGTACAGGAATTATATCCATGTCAAACGTATCTGTGTGATAGACAGAAGAAATAATAAACTATGCGAGTAAAGCATCGAGCACGTCGCAACGATATTTGTTACAGACCCATCGAACTTTGCACGATGAATAACTTGGAACAAATGTCACAGCCATACATCATACGAGACAGTCATAAATTCTAGCAGTCTAGATACTCGCTAGTAACTCGACTCGACGTCGCGCTACGTACCGTTAGAACCATCGGACGCAATCAACGGTAACAACAATAGCAGCAACGATAGCAGCAGCAGCAACAACGATCCAACGACTCTTGTCACGACGAATACTTAACCAACTGAACAGCATGGTACAGGATTGTACTTTGCACAATGGGCGATGCTGATAGTAACATAATTACAATTAACACGGTGCCCGATGAGAAATACGAGATGCTCTTGGCGAGCAATACGAGTTTAAGTAATTAATCAGAATACCCTCGTCACGGTGACCGTGGTTCACGAACTTGCCGCAACGGGAACCGCGGAAAATTTATCGATTGTTCGAGACGGGCCAAAGCTTTGAAAACAATCGTCCTCCACGAGTACGGACCGTCCTAACTCCATCTACGAACGAACGATTCATCAACCATCCTAGTAATTAACGTGCAACCGCCAAGCTTGTCTCGAATTCGTCGACCA